AGAGAGAGAGAGAGAGAGAGAGAGAGAGAGAGAGGTCAATAATACAAGATCAAATATTCAGGTGACGACGCCGTTTGTCGCCAATATATTCGGATCACCAATTACGACGTGACTAGTATTAAGATCTTGAAATCCAGTAGGACTCGTGCATTAAGGTGGTGTTTGGAAAAAAAAAAAAAATTCGGTCTAACCGGCACGATATTATGGCCACGTGATAATATTATTTAAGGGGAAATAGGTTTAGATGCTTTTATGTTTGTCGCTTGATCATTCAGGCTCCCTAATATTTAAAATATTATATATATATTTTTTAAAATTTATACACTCATAACNATAATATTATTTAAGGGGAAATAGGTTTAGATGCTTTTATGTTTGTCGCTTGATCATTCAGGCTCCCTAATATTTAAAATATTATATATATATTTTTTAAAATTTATACACTCATAACACTTAGACCCCTGTTATAAATATATCCGTTAATAAATTACACTTAAACTCCCTAAAATTTGTGAGTATATAATATTTAGACCAAAATACTCCAATCAAATATCAAATATTTTAAATTTTACAATCAAAATTCATGTTCTATTGTATCATTTATTGAAATAAAATCAAAAATAAAATTTTAATTTTTTCTTAAAAAATTATAATTAATATACAATTATATTGTCTATTAAAATTTAATTTAGTCATTTAAACGATCAAATTAAAATATCAAACTACTTCAATTAAATGTAAAAGATATTGTATCTATTACAGTTTGATTCCTTATTTATTTTTTTAGTTTTGTTCTGATAGACAGTATAAATATATACTAACTATGGTTTTTAAAAAAGAAATAAATTTTTATTTTTGATTTTATTTCAATAAATGACATAATAGAACATGAATTTTAGATGTAAAATTCATGTTCTATTATGTATGACCTAGACCCATTGTTTGATTTTTTTTTGTTTTATTCCAATAGATACTATAATTGTATATTAATTACGATTTTTTTAAACAAAAATTAAAATTTTAATTTTAATATTATAATATAATTGTATATTAATTACGATTTTTTTAAACAAAAATTTTAATTTTAATTTTAATATTATTTCAATAAATGATACAATAGAATATAAGTTTTAGTTGTAAATTTAAATATTTTATATTTTATATTTGATTGGAGTATTTTTGATCTAAGTATAATATTTTAAACTTAAAGAGTCTAAGTATTATATACTCACAAACTTTAGAGGAGTGTAAGAGTAATTTATTAATGGATATATTTACAACAAGAGTCTAAGTGTTACGTGTGTACAAATCTTAGAGGGTTGTGTATAATATTTTAAATATTAAGGGGTTTAAGTGATTAAGTAACAAACTTCAAAAAATCTAAATGTATTTCTCTCTATTATTTAATAAAAATATAATAAAAAAATAAGTAATTTTCCCCTATTATTAAATGATAACATTATGTATTATGCGTTAATGATAATGTAATAGCACCGTCTCACCCAATACTTAGACTAGTAGCATTAGATAAAATTTTAATAGGTCCCATATATCTCTTGGGAAGTGAAAAAGCTGGCCGGAAATCCCAACATAATATTTTTGCAATTGTTTAATTGTCTAGATTTTGCAATTAATATCCTGAAAGAAACCAAACACAATATTTTTACTTGTCTCTTTTTTTGACACCTTATGTCTAATATTAATAGACTAATAATTATTTGTATCTAAAGGCACTATACATTAAATAAAAAAAATCGCAAATAATTCTCTATGCTCAAGGCAATATATATCACAAAAATATGGCTAATTACAAAAAGAAGAACCCTCAAAGTACCTCAAGTAGGAATAGAAATCGAGTTGTCTCATCTTATATTGTGTCATAGAGTAATATTATTTAGACCTAAAAATTTGATCTAATTTCTGACATAATGATGTGGCTTTATAGAAATCATTGAATCAACATCAAGTTCCAATATTTGATAGAGTCTATAGTGAATCCAAATGTCACAGTAAATTAAGTCAACAAATTATGTCAATAAATTAGGTCTCAATAACATTGCTTGTATCATATTATTTCGAATTTGTGTAAAACATCTCTCCAAGTAAACACAACATATTTAATTAATCGTGTACATAACTTAACTCTAACACCACTCGATTGTAAAATATTTAATTTGGACACGGCCTAGGCAACACATTGGACACATAAGTCATGTTAGGTTCGCACGGGCAATTGCTTTAATCCAATCCACCTTCACATAAAGTAAAATATAGTTCAAAACTTCAATGATCCAATATAATTGCCAGATAAAAATTAATTAAAAGTCCTCCAGGTGTTTGATCAATTGCTACTTACAATGAGCTAATCTAACTGCCATGAGACACGAAAAAAAAATCTTCATCTTCGCACCAAGAAAATGTGAAACTAGACAAACCTTTAGTTTAGTTTTGATTCCAAGAAAGGTCATACATCTGGGATAAACCCGTTTAATGTCAAAAAATTTTACAGAAGTCAGTGAATATCACATATAGAGTATATTTGTTGATGCCAAGGAAATGCCATACGACAATACTTAATCAAACCTTAGTCTAGTACCAAAGAGCTCAAACTCTTTTTTTAAAAGAAAATTAAACATACGCCTTGTGAAAACAGATTTTATTTATAATTTAAAGTCCTAGTGCGGCAACTTTCGGCCTTGCCCTTCATTCCTTGAAGTTTGTTTTTTTTCGCTAAGGTTGAAGAATAAATCTGCCCAAGCTTGCAAAATTAATAGACGTGTCCAAGTTTGTGTTTTGTTGGATAAGGAGCATCTCCCTTATTTTATCCGCTATTCCTATTATTTTTGTCACCAAATCCATTTTGCCCAGTTAGTTTTATAATGCCCAAAAAACCATCTTGGACGGCATTACAATTTAAAATCATTCACATTATGAGAGCAACTAATATAATCTATCAATAAATAAAAATTTATTCATCATATCTAATATTTACAACATCATCCCACAAGAATATGCCCAACCATGACAATTACATCCAAAAGAATCAAATTTAAGTTGCAGCGGAACAACCAAAAATATTAGACTCTACCGAGTCTCAAAAGGAATTTCCTAGTCTAGTATCTAGGAGAGTATCACCCTAGACGTCCACCTCGGGATCCACGAGCCCATCTAGTGGAGCTTCTCAATGTATTGGTTCCTCAACTCCGAACTCGTCGTCTAGACCACAATCTGAAAGAAATATATAGTTTGTAGGGAGTGAGCACTAAGCTCTGTAGCAACATTCTCTCAATCTTGAACAAGGTTTAGAAAACATATAAAACAGTTCGGTCTCATTTTTCAAAATAACATTTATAACTTGAAATAAAATAGTGACTATTTATTTGATCTCAAGTGTACGCAATCACAATAATTTAAATGAACAGTAAAATGAATTTCCCAAAAATAAACTATTTCTAACCATAAACTATTTCTCACAAGTTTTTGTAGAGTCTCATACCTCCACAAGCTCTTGTAGGAAACCGTTTCTGATATCAACAAATCATTTACAACCATAAACCATTTTTCACAAGTTCTTGTAGAGTCTCATACCTCCACAAGCTCTTGTAGGAAACCAATTCCACACAATAATAGTAATCATTCAATAGTGTCATCCCATATTCTCATGTATGTTGGTTGTTTCTCATGAATCTACACAACGACTCTGCCTCGTTCACCCAATCATAACCACCCAATCTTTACTTCGAACTTACGTAAACAATAGCGGTTGTTTTCACAATCAACAAACCACTACAAGTGTTAGAAAATCATCTCACCCCCACTAGGATAGACTAACCTCTAACACTTTACGACAGTGCTCGAATGTAATTCAAGTCCATCACAACAACCATACAAGGGATGCAATAACAAACATGTTCTTTAAAACACAAGAAAATCCAAAATCTTCAATTCTCACAATTTGTAAATACAAGAGAACAATTTAAGGAAATAAGCAAGAGATCATCACAACATCATTTTACTACTCAACACAAAGTACTAGGGTTTCAAAGTCAAGAACAAAAGAAGAATCAAGAGGAAAATTCATCTCTTTTGAAAACTAGGGTTTTATGATAAGAAAAGAAATCTCATAGTTATATAACCATAACTTTGTTTAAAACATGGTAATGATTGCAAAAATCTCGAGGAATCATGATTTCATAGCATATACATATGAATTAAAGTCAAAAGAATACATATAGATAAGCCCTAGCTTCAATGTAAGAGAATAGAAAGAAAAGCCCTACCTTGATATTCTTGAAGAAATCTGAGGCTTTAATTCAATCCAAAGTGCAAAGCCCCTTTGATCTTGTGTTTTTCCCTCTCTTTCTTCCTCTCTAAGGTTTTCTAGGGTTAGAAGTGTTGAAATGGGGCTAAATGGGACGTCTTTATGTATTTATAGTGGAAGGAGGGCCGACTGTTCGTGACTTAAAAATTTTTGGAATCTATCGAGCGTACCAGTACGGTCTGGCTACTGGTCTTCGGCATACCAGTACGCGTACCGGTACACTTTTGCTAAATCTGCCTGTTTCCTTTATTTTTCATTTCTAATCCATTTCTAATCCTTCCAAGGTCATCCCAAACTTATACAACATACCTTTGCACATCAAACAGGATTGGTACAACTTCTATTACAAACGAATTCATATATTTATCCGGATTTTACCATATTAGCATTTCAAAAAGAAATGATTACTTGCTATATAAAGATAAGAGTGTGGGGGTTTACAATCCACCCCCCTTAAAAAAAGTTTCGTCCTCGAAACTTAATCGTCGAGTTAGT